CTACATCCTGAAAGAAATTAGTACATAAACAACTTCTAAATTTAATTTCCCTTAAATATATTATGAAATGGATTAAGTTCAACAATTATTTAATATATTTTCATAATATAACATACTCAGACATAATCATTTGGGAATAATCGTCAAAGATTTGTAGTTTATAAACAGTAATTTGGACTTTGCTAACTCATCAACAGTAATTTGGACTTTGCTAACTCATCAACAGTAATTCGGACTTTGCTAACTCATCAACAGTAATTGGGACTTTGCTAACTCATCAATTAGGACTTTGCTAACTCATCAACAGTAATTCGGACTTTGCTAACTCATCAACAGTAATTGGACTTTGCTAACTCATCAACAGTAATTCGGACTTTGCTAACTCATCAACAGTAATTCGGACTTTGCTAACTCATCAGTAATGGGACTTTGCTAACTCATCGGACTTTGCTAACTCATCAACAGTAATCGGACTTTGCTAACTCATCAACAGTAATTCGGACTTTGCTAACTCATCAACAGTAATTCGGACTTTGCTAACTCATCAACAGTAATTCGGACTTTGCTAACTCATCAACAGTAATTCGGACTTTGCTAACTCATCAACAGTAATTCGGACTTTGCTAACTCATCAACAGTAATTCGGACTTTGCTAACTTTGATCATTTGATCTGATGTGCTGTTTGGTTAACAGCATATCAGATCAAATGATGGCTCCTTTTGGGGTTTCAGGTTTGATTCTTGTTGGAGAAGCACATGTTTTCTACAAAATCTCTCAAACATTTAGGCCAGTAAATGTAATTAATACTGTTTAATTTAAAAAAAACAAAAAAAAACAGAGTATTTAATTAAATAAATTATATCTATTAAAATAACATACATAATACAAGTAATACATAGTATAAAATAAGCAACCTCTAAGGGCATATGCTGCATTTCTACAAAGGCAAACCAGAGAAAAAGGGCTCAATGCAGAGCATTAATATAATTTTCTTAATAACTTTCTGGCTTAACTTGACTGACCACTTTTTCACTTTTCCAAGTAATAGTTATTCTTCAGCATTTCCATATTGGTCACATGGGTCTTTTCAGTTTTTAGTTTAGTTAGTGTATACATATTATGTATGCATCAGCTACCCCTCATAACATCTTGAGCTTGCTGAGGGAGTATAAAATTCCCATAATTTCCATATCAGAAAACAGTTGATGATTACTTGAAGATTGCATGCAAATGCATGATACTACCTATTGTAGTTGGTCATTGTACACTCAAAAGTTCTTAAGAAAAGTTGTGGGTATATAAATATATATATATTTGGAGGAAAGATGTATGACAAAGTGGAAAAAGTTGTCATGTGACATGTTTTGTCTCTTAAGGCTTCATCAGACTAGGATTGTTTACATTGATGCAACTACACATGCACATAAAGAGATGCTAGTAACATCTACATAAACAAAGCCAGTCCGATATAGGCCTAAGGGACAAAATGCATCACACAAAATCTTTTTACACTTTGTCATACATCTTTCTTCCAAAACTGTTCTATATATATATATATATATATATATATATATATATATATATATATATATATATATATATATATATAAATTTAAAATACAATGTAAATATAAAAATAGTATATTGTAAAAAAGAGACTGTAAATAGCCGTGTTTAAGAAGGTGCAATAAAAAAAAAAAATAATGCGCTGAATACAAAGTCCCAAAAGTTTGAGTTGTAGAGCAAAATGTAATCAGGAACTCCAAAATTCAAGCTACCATGCTACCCAGGTATTGAGCATTAGTTAGGTCTCCTCAAGCAGATAGGATTATATATATATATATATATATATATATATATATATATATATGTGTGTGTGTGTGTGTGTGTGTGTGTGTGATGAAATAAAAGTATAAAACTTGATATTACAGGACATATTAAAAAAAAAAAAAACGGGTGAAAACCGGTTTTGCTCACGCTCTTCAGGCTTCAACGGGAGATTTAAAATTCACACAGAAAAATGTACAATAAAAGAAATTGCAAAAAAAAAAAATTATGTACATTTTTCTGTGTGAATTTTAAATCTCCTGTTGAAGCCTGAAGAGCAGGAGTGAAACTGGTTGCTTCAACCATTTTTTTTTTTTAATATGTCTTAATATTAAGTTTTATACTTTTTATTTCGATCATTAAATTTTGTACCTACAAAATATCTTTATATATATATATATATATATATACATACACACAAATATATATATATATATATATATATATATATATGGCCATCAGCACATCAGCTGTAGATTGGACAAAGCATATATTCTATATTGTGATATAACATCATCATTAGAGTGAATGAAGGTTTTACTATATTTGTTTAATAAATCATTAAAATCATTTCCAATGAATTTTGATATCCACTTTTAGAAATTGAAGTGTAATTCTATATTAAAGTGAATGAAAGTTTTAATATATTTACTTAATAAATAATTGCAAAGCACTTCCATAGCAAAATAATTTTCATTGCATTTCTATATATGACTTTAGTATTGTGTCATTGTAAATAATAATAATAATTAGAGTGAATAAAATTTTTGTGGTATTTGTTCAATAAATCATGACCATGATATCACTGGTCACATGAACAATTCATAATGGAACAACTGCCTAATCAAATTTTATTATTTGATATCCCAGCTTTAAATGAGCATAAATGGAAACAAAAAACAATTATACAGATTTTGTATAAGGTACTGAAAAGTTCTGGGCACAACCAAGAATATAATGATCAAGCAATGAAATTGTTGTAGCATACCTACAGACGATAATAGGTTTGTCCCCATTCACGTAAATACAGTAGTAAATACTGTATGTTAGTCTAGAGTTGGAGATTCATGGTGAAATTCACTTAACTCACTTCTAGCAGTTGACTACTACTTCTACACACCGCTGGTGAATCTTATATGTGTTGTTCTTGTCCTAAGTATTATTGTTCATTACCAAACTTTGTTTGATTATTCTATTCAGTAACCTTCCCTAGGTTACAACAGAAATGTACATACAATTCCCAATATTCATCCTACAGTTCAACACACTTGATGTATCATTTCACAACTCTTAAAAAAAAATATTCTGACATTGGGTCACTGAAATACTGATTTTGACCAGGCCAAGAACTTTTCTGCACTACCTTATATGTATTCTCCAAATATAAAATAATTTTCATGCTTGACTGCATAAACATAAAAATTCAAACACCAATTTGTGAACTGTAAACACTATCTCCAACGGAAATGTTTTTGCTAAATGTTTGTTGATGTCGACTCTAATTAAGCCAAGTTCATATTTTCAACAGATGAAGAATTTTCTTTCTTTTTTTTTTTTTCTTCTCTCCAAAGTTATCAATTATAATCCAACAACATCACTGAACTGAAAGAGAGTATATCTGAACTCACTGACTCTACAACCAATATCAGACAGACAGTAGTAGGTTACACAGTACCAATCAGAGGATAAATTCTCAGATATGACTGCATAAAGAAATCATTGTGGAACTACACTATATCCTTCATCACAATGACAAAGCAAGTTATCTAACATTTGTTAGACCAATTCCATAGTGCTGAATTATCCTCATTTCCAGTCTTCCAAAGTTAAGACAGTTCAATTCAGACAACCTTTTTTCCAAGAACTGCCACTTTATGGGAAAATAACAAGCAGTGAACCAAGTAGGCTTCTATTGCAACGTTAGTAAGACAGAATATATCATAATTGCCCCTGAACCATCCGAGGTGAAGTCACTCAATAATACATCCATCAAAAGAGTTGAGGACTTCAAATATCTTGGATCTCACAAAATAGGTTCTCAAAAAGACATTCACAAAGCTCTTGCATAAGGTGCATGTAACAAACTTCACAAGATTTGGTGCTCAAACCTTCCATCCTCCTTAAAAATCCAAACCTTTCAAATATTGATTGAACCAGTCCTATTGTATGGATCAGAAACTTGGACATTATCTGCTCGTCTTGAAAGATGGCTGGATGGAATGTATACAAATCTACTTAAAAATATTCAGAACATCAGTTGGAGATCCCATCCAATGCTTAACGCCATTTATAGAAAACTGAGATCAATCTCTCTCAAGCTCAAGCAAAATCTTTGTGAAAAAAATACTTAAATGATCCATTATCACTCTAAGGGATGTTTGAATTTCGGATCTTATTCTCTGTATATGATACCTTCTTTAATATAGAGATGAGTCATTGATAGTCCTAAAGGTGGTTGGACTGTCAGTCTTTTTTTTCACTTGAGGTACCATCACAAAATAAATTTCAGAAATTAAATAAAATTTCAAGTAAAAGTAGAAGATTCTTGGATAACATTGGATTGGGTCTCCACAATGGAATTATCAAATGCTTCCAATATCTGCTGAAAAAAAAGTTCACCAAATATTCTGACTTTACAGAGAGTATTTGTTTAATTATTTTTAGAAACATCATAGAATACATGTCAAGACAACCATTGCAAATGCAAGTAACCATCAAAGCCATTATAATCATCTGAAAATTCCTTACCTGTCTGTTGCTTTTTGGCAGGCGTCCTACCCTTGCTCCAGTAATGTCATAGAGACGTACATTACGGTTATCATGAGGAATCGCTATTAAATTATGAGTATTCGAAAAAGCCAGCCTATAAGAAAAATAAACAGAGATATTAAAAATTAAAAAGACTCAAAAAAAGATATTTTATTATGAAATCAGGAAAAAGAAATATGAGTTCCAAATAAAAAAAAAAGCATCAAACTGAAATTTTATCAGTATTTGCTTATTTCCAAGTCAATTTTTTTCTAAAAAATAAGAATATAAATTTTATATGCAAAAATAGTTTGCTCTTGTTATAAAGCACTCTTTAATGTCATGAATAATGTCTTCAGTTAGGGTAAAAAAATAAAATTGATTAACAGATTTTGAAAACACAAATAGATTATCTAAGCTTACTGCCACACCATATTCAAACACAGGTTCCCATACAATCACCAAAGTTAAGCAATAACAAGCCTGGTCAGTACCAAGATGGGTGACTGCTTGGGAATATCAGGTGCTGTAAGCTTAGATGTGCAGGTGGTGCAATGGATAATGGCCCAGAATTGTTAATCAGAGCAGAATTCCAATTTCTGTTCAGTCCATTATATTCATTTATATGCAAATACCCTTAAGAAAGGTATGAATCCACCTTTTCTCCCCTCAGCTATGGATTAATTAGTAAGACATGTATCACTGAATCATTATTATCTCAAAAAAAAAAAAAAAAAAAAAAAATTCTTGCAATCTAAAAATATTTCCTGGTTTTAAATAACCTGCAAAAGGGTTGATAAGCTGTAGAAAACAAATCAATCAATAGATTATCTCCCATAATTAAAAATCTGCAATCATGAAATGGTTCAGATTGAAATGTCGTGAAGGTGAAACAACAAACACCCAAAGACCAAAGGACACAATGCCTGAAAAGTTGTGATAATAACAACAAAGATGAGGATACTTTTTTTTTAAAGCATTTCACCCCAAGCCAGGCAGGAGTGCCGCTAGCATGCTGGGGTTTACAGAGACTAAAAGTGAGGGAAAAGACTGTGTACAGAGGGGACTGAGGAAAGGATAAAAGAAGAATGGGGATCCCACCAAGAGAAGACTGTGATTGATGTTGCATTTAAATTTTTGAAAATTGTAGTTATCAGGGAAGCAAGTAAGAGGAAGAGAGTTCCACTGTCAGGAAGTATGAGAAAAGAAGCTGTTGGAGTAGAAGTGGTGGTCACATTTAACTGTTTCAAGAGTAAAAAAGTGGGACCTCAATGCCAATCTAGTAGCATGCTTACATTCCTGTAATCAGGGCATCAAAGAAGATAGCTCATCAAAACAGTTGCCATGAAAATATTTTTAGAAAAGACAGAGAGAAGCCACATCATGTCTACAAGAGAGTGACTGAAGTCAAGATGTCAAGTCAGGACAATATTCCAAATGTAAATAATGAGTAAACTTTGTTTACATTCAATGTAGTCAGCACAAAATGATTAATTTATTTTCTATAACTTTGAGGTAGTCATTAAAATTCAAAATTATTTACAGACAATAGAACATCTTCATGCATTTAATAAGATCAACATAATACTTCAGATAATCCGGTCTTCAGTTTTCCTCAGGTATCCTGTCTTTATAGAAAGAAAGGATCTTTTTTGACAGGGCAATGCAACAAAAGAAATGAAAAATATCAAACAGAATCCTTTTCATTTATTTTATTTGCATACAGATTATTGTCTTCAACTTTGTTGTTGCTATCACAATGTTTCAGTCATTATTTCAATTTATCAAAAGTTCTTAAGAAAAGTTGTGGGTATATAAATATATATATATTTGGAGGAAAGATGTATGACAAAGTGGAAAAAGTTGTCATGTGACATGTTTTGTCTCTTAAGGCTTCATCAGACTAGGATTGTTTACATTGATGCAACTACACATGCACATAAAGAGATGCTAGTAACATCTACATAAACAAAGCCAGTCCGATATAGGCCTAAGGGACAAAATGCATCACACAAAATCTTTTTACACTTTGTCATACATCTTTCTTCCAAAACTGTTCTTAATATATATATATATATATATATATATATAAATATATATATATATAAATTTAAAATACAATGTAAATATAAAATAGTATATTGTAAAAAGAGACTGTAAATAGCCGTGTTTAAGAAGGTGCAATAAAAAAAAAAAAATAATGCGCTGAATACAAAGTCCCAAAAGTTTGAGTTGTAGAGCAAAATGTAATCAGGAACTCCAAAATTCAAGCTACCATGCTACCCAGGTATTGAGCATTATTGATTTGGGTACCTTCCAGGGTATTTCAAACAGAATCCTTCATTTAATATACAGGAAAAGATTGTTCTCACTCTACGTCTAGGGATAACTCATCTTGTTCTTATTTTAGTAATGCTCAGTTATTGCTTGCCCCATTTTCATTTAGTCAAAGCACACACAAGGGACTAAACTCTCAATTACCATGTCACAAAATTCACAAACCAATGCTTTAGTCCACTAGGCTATTGTGCCATGGGACAATTCTCTGTGGAGAACTTGGAGCCCTAAACCTAAACTGCCTGTTGATGAGTGCTGCTGCTTGTCATGCTTAACTGCAATCACTAAAACATTCACTTCTGTTACAGCTGCTGCTGTCATCTTTTTTTTTTTTATTAGTGGCTCCCATATCATTTATTTCTATGCTAGGCCTATTAAAGAGGTCCTCATAGCCTAGCATATGCACTGATTCTTTCAGATGTCTAATTCTCCTGTGTTCTTCCTTGTTCAATATTTTCACTTCATTCCACAGGAGCTCTTTTGATAACAACAAAGATGAGCACAATAGTCCACATGTAAATAATGATAATTCCTCATCTTGTAAATTCAGACAAAAGGAATCCTTATTAAAATTCATCTCAGCAGCAAAACTTGTAATATCAGCTAATTCTGTCATACTACATAGTCATCTGAATTTATACAACATGCATCCAGCAGATAAGCCAATACATGACAGGTTGATTAATTTAACAATACACTATATCAACCCTTGTTGGATTATTTAATGTTGAAAATAAGTTTCATAGATCTGGTTCACACTACAGTCAAAAAAGTGGTACACATACAGCTGGTTGGCACTACATTTGAAAAAGGTACATATATATTGAGTTTACACTAGAGTCAAATAGGTAGACATAGGTCCAGATTATTCCAGTGTCTGCAAGTACCTATTGAGATACATCTTTCAATAGATAGGAGTTGATAGCAGTTTAATAAGATGGACATATTCCTTTTACCACAGCTGGCTGATTAAGGGCTGAAATACATCTTTCAATAGATAGGAGTTGATAGCTGTTTCATAAGATGGACACGTGCCTTTTACCACAGCTGGCTGATTAAGGGCTGAAATACATCTTTCAATAGATAGGAGTTGATAGCTGTTTAATAAGATGGACATGTGCCTTTTACCACAGCTGGCTGATTAAGGGCTGAAATACATCTTTCAATAGATAGGAGTTGATAGCTGTTTAATAAGATGGACATATGCCATAGGCCTTTTGCCATACCTGGCTGACTAAGAGCCAATATATATCTTACATTAGATATGCAGGTTAGCCACTGAATTGTAACTTCAATGGAGTTTTTAATCAATGAATCTTAATGTTACCTTATGTAAAAAATAAAAAAAATAAAAATGCAGCCATTTTAAATCATTTATGTTTTATTATTTGTGAGATAGGAAATTACTGTCAGTCTTGTTTCTTGCTTGTAGCTCATTTCTCATCTTCTTTGTGTCTTCTTTTCAAAAATGTCACTCAGAATTTTTGCCAATCATATTCGAAAGACATACTGGCAGTAAGCATCTTCTAGTTTTCTTATACCAAAACTATGAGATTAACTAAAGAAACTTTACCATTCTCTTCTGTTTAAATATTCATAACGTCAGACAAAGAGAGAGAATATCTCTAAGAATATTAGTTTTATGTCTATGTAACATTGTCAAGTTGAATTTCTGTCCATCATGAAACAGAATACTCATCTTGCAAGCCATTCATAGTCCTCAACAGATGCTCTACATAGAAACGTTTTGTTGAACTTTTCTTAGTTTGAATAGCTCACTAACAGACACTTACAACAAAAAAGAAAGCTATATAAGAACTACCACTTCCTTACTTTGCATATAAATGCAACATTGGGTCTGAAATGAAATTATTTAGATAATCACTTCTTCCAGTTAACTTTTCCGCATGTGCATATTTGCTTAATAATAATAATAATTCTGCTTGTTTTTTAATTCCTTAGCACATATGTTACACGCTGCCATTACCTCAAATAAATAATGGACCATTCCATTTTGATTGCGAGAAAAGATGGAAGAAAAAGATACATCAGAGATACTGCTTGGCTTTAATGAGAGAGAGAGAGAGAGAAGGAGAGAGAGAGAGAGAAAGAAACTGGTAATAAAAAGAAAAAAAGGAAAATAGACAAGACAATAATGCTCTCATGTGTTTAGCATCTGCTTCAGTGAAATGGAAAAACATGTCAATTTTTAATTTTTTTTTCATGTATAACCTCTTACTTCTTCAAATAATGACCTGCATTCATACTTATGATTGTTATTACATTATTTTGTTAAAACTTAAGCTCAAGTATTTAATTATACAACAGAGGAATTTCCACAGGTATCTTATAGTCATGGAACTCACAAGGTGGTTATTCAGTTATTAAATTAAAGATTATGATAATAATAAAACTATAAAATATTCACAAATTCAACATCTATGGGTTACTTACTGCCAAAATGTAAATATTTTTAACACAATTTTATGGCTTCAACTAAATATATTTTGAATCCAATTGTATGTATTCAACTGCAGAAAATGTATTGTCAGTGATTGTTATATAGGAATAAAGTGTCACTGCTGACACTGGAATTTAAACACAGATCACCAAAGAGCAAACACAGGTGATCTTATTTTGAATAAGTAGATCATGTGATGATAAATGAAATGTATATATGGGAATTAGCATGGCATCTAAGTGATCGCCATACGGATCATGATTCAGTGGTTACTTTTTGAGTGAGTATTATTGAGCAAGTACTATTAGTGTGAGTGTTATTCAAAGGCATCTGACACCAGTATTGTTCAACGGCATTACTATAATTGTATCTGTGATTACAAAGTCTACCACAACAAGCATTATGAAAGTGACAATGAGGATTCGTTGACATCACAAAAGTGGCACCAAGTTTTCATTGACATCACAAAAGTGATTTTGCTATGAAATGTATTGTTGGCAATTCTCCTATGAAATGTATTGTTGGTAATACTCAGATAAAATCTATTGTTGGTAATACTCAGATAAAATCTATTGTTGGTAATACTCAGATAAAATCTATTGTTGGTAATTCTTCTATAAAATCTATTGTTGGTTATTTCTGTATTAAAAAATATATTGCTGTATTTTTACTATAAAAATATAATTTTTTTTCACTTTCATAATGTTTTGTTTTTGTTTGGGCATTCACTATTTG